AAAATTTTACATTTTCATAATAAAATAAGTCAAAATTTCAGCATCATCCGATTTCAGCATCATCCCCGACATTAAATATGCCGGCCATCTAGTCATCCAATTTGAATGATCTTTATTATTATTTTGTAGAGCTTATTTAGCTCCACAAAATAAAAAAAAGTTCATTCAATTTGGATAACTATATGGTTGGCAAATTTAATTTTTATTCACAAAATCAACATAGCCTCGGAGGGTCATTTTCCTAGCAAAAATCCCAAATAGCAATTTAATATAATGCAAATGTACTAATTTAATATAATGTAAATGTTATCGCTATTTAATTTCTGATTATCAAATGGGTCGGAAACGGTTGGTGATCATGTCACAGTCACACTTTTTGCAAACAGCATGTTATACGGTGAGAATTGGAAATAACTGAGGAAAAATTATTTTATTAATATGAATTTTTTAAAGTTTTCGGGATGTATTGGATTTAGGTTAGATTCTATTATTATAAGTGGATTTTTTAAATAGAAATTTCCGATTTCTAGCTTTAGCAGCGGCGTTACTTTTAAATTCATCTTTATGAAAAATAGCTTGTTCGATGAAAATTTTAAGTTCATGCTTACTTTACGTTTGAATAAAGATTAAAATCGACCAATAATCTGATTATAAGTGACTGGATTCTTATTTACCACGATTATGTCAGGTTTTGTATCAGTAAAATGACTGGCGTTCTTTGTTCTCAAGCAGCTCCCTCGATGTATTTGCAAGTGATCGAGATGCTGCTCAATCATTTCGATTAATCGAAATTAATTGAAGTGATCCCTGTAACAATTTTGCCGAAAATTCATTGTGCGAAATGCGGATTTTAAATTACAGCCAATTGGAGTGACTCTATAAAAAAAAAAGATGGTTGTTAGCTCCAGGTTTTTTTGACCGAAATGATTAAACACGATTTATTTTTTCAGCCAATCGGATCACTTTATCGATCATAGAGGGAGGCTCAGGTGTTGGCAAATGACAATATCATAATATGTTTGCATGATATAGAATCATATAATTCATATGCCATATGATATAAAATCATGTCATATTATTATTATATGACATATCGTATGATATTGAGATATGACAATTCATATAAGTCATATGAGTCATACGACATCATTGTCCAACACTGGAGGGAGGTGCTTGAGAGAAACCTTAATCAATGGGTCGAAAAGTGTCAGTGAATAAATTTTACTTAGCAAAAAATATGTTAAACGGGTCGTCTATCATTGTGATGAATATTTAAATAGTATTTTAATTTGATAAAGTTTAATACATAAGTGAAATATTTTTGTTAATAAAAAAAAATATATATATATTAAGTTGTCATTCAATTTACAACCTTTTTTCCGCAAACCATCTTTTTTATACTTGGTTTAACAAAATTTACCATTCAAAGAGATCGCTCAAGTAACTTTGTTTTGGATCCAAACTCTCGGCATCAACAAATGATATTTACTCTTTATACCGAAATTTTTTATAGAAAATACAGCTTTTTTCTACATATGTAAATTGCCTAAAAATCAAAATAAATGAAACAAAAAATATACTGACGCTAATTTAAATTATGACATCCGATAACGATAGGTACAAAACTTATTGTCATTCCTACAGAATTCAACTACAGCTCCTGCAAGCATGCATGATCCAGTTATGTACTAAACAAATGATGACGTTAATTGAATTTATACCCTTGTCACTATATCAGATCGCAGGGCATAAATCAGTTATACCCTGGGCACTATGTGTATTTCATCCCCCGCTTATACCCAACTGCCCAGGATATAACTATTACAAAAATACTGTCTTTTAATTTGTTACGAACTTAGACGATACCATAATGGACGAAATATTTTCTAAAGACCTAGTTGCAGATCCTGAAGACTTAGTTGAAGATTTTAAAAGCCTATATGAGTCCAAGGAAGATTATGATACAATTATCACTGTTGGAAAAGAACAAAACGCTGTGCAAATTTATGCCCATTCTCAAATTCTTTGTGCTAGATCATCTTATTTTCATAGAGCATTATCTGATGAATGGGTTGTAGAAAAAGATGGTTACTTTGTTCTATCAAATCCTAATACCAATGCATTAATTTTTAACGTTATTATTAAGTATGTGGGATATTAAATTTTTATAACAAATCATTTAGGATTCTAATTATATATTATGTTATTTCAATAGGTTTTTGTACTGTGGAATAATAGATTTGAAAGGCCAAAACGATGAAACAATCTTAGAGCTTCTAGTTACTGCAGATGAACTTGTAATTCAGGGACTTATTGACATCGTTCAGAACTTCTTAGTCCAAAATAGTTATACATTCTTACAAAAAAGTCCTATTAGGATGCTTCATTTTATTACTACCCATGAAAACCGATTCAATGAACTCAAGGAAGCTTATTTGGAGACCATTTGCAAACATCCTCACTTACTATTTGATTCAGATGAGTTTCTTTCTTTAGAAAAAGATACACTAAAATTAATTCTTGAATGTGATAACCTCGATCTGAAAGAAAGTATTATCTGGAAAAAACTAGTTGAATGGGGAATCGCACAACATGAAAGGAACATGATGTGTGATGACAATAAGAACGATGACATGATTTGTGATGATACCAATAATGAAGATACCAATAATGAAGATACCAGTAATGATAATACCAATAATGATGATACCAATAATGATGATACCAATAATGATGATACCAATAATGATGATACCAATAATGATGATGATGATACCGATGATGATACCAATAATGATGATATTAATATATTAAAAGAGGAATTACATGAATTAACTAAACTCATTAGATTTTATCAGATGGATCCTAAAGAGTTTGTTCCTGAAGTATGGGAATATATGGACATCCTTCCTAAAGGTTTAATTAAAGACGTAGTACGCTGTTATTTAGATTCAGATGTTAAACCATCATACCAACCATTTTTAATCAGATGGGGCAATTTTAACATCACCTCAGCATTTATCAACAAGGAGGTTGCGCTATTATTGATGAAGTGGATTAGTAGAAAAGCTACAGATGATAAGACCTTAAAAGGATTTAAATACAAATTTAATCTTCTTTTTAGAAGCAACTTAGATGGTAGCTCATCACGAGTATTTCATCGAAAATGTGATAAAAAAGGGGCAACAATTGTTGTTGGAAGAATTTCAAACTCAAATCGTCTCGTTGGAGGTTACAATCCACTTGATTGGAGTGGAGATAATATATGGAAAAAAACAGCAAATAGCTTCTTATTTACATTAGATAAGAATAACCTCAACAATGCAACGATATCACGTGTTAATCCTAATAATAGTGGTTGTGCTATTGGTTGCAACGTTATTCATGGTCCAAGTTTCGGAGAAGGTCCTGATCTACACGTTTCAAACAACAGTGTTAACTGGGAATTTAAACCAAAATCTTATCCTAAATTAGTAAGCTCGGATTCACTCACAGTCTCAGAATATGAAGTTTTTCAAGTAGTTAAAGCCTTCAAATAGTTAATAAAGTTGAGATTTTATCCAAGATTGTGTATAAACATAAAAGTAAATATAATATAAAATATTATACTGTTTGATTAGATTTGTATATTTTTTGTTTTGCTTTTTTAAATTTTTAGACAGTTCTATTTATATTAAAATTTAGGGGAATTTACAAATAAGGACCGGAAAGCGAAATAATTACAAATACGGGCCCAAAATACAAATAATTACATGTAAGAGCCTAATTTTTTTAAAAATATTACATATAAAGGCCCAAATTTATTGATGATTGAAACAACATGCTCACGAATTACTGTGCCATAAAGTACTATGACCATTTGACCTATAACGATTGCAAAATCGCGATTATAGAATCATTGATTATTTTATTATAGGCATTTAGAGTTATCTGTATACCGATTATTAGACAAAAGGATAAATGAAGCGCTGGTTATAATCATTTCGCTTAAATATTGTATAAAAAATAACGTTAAACTAGCACAATTATTTATAAGACGAAGAAATTTCAACAGAGTGGTCCTCTAGAGCTGGACGAACATCTTCAATATTAGTAAATGTCATGCCAATTCGCGGTGCTTTACTTGACATCATAGTGGTTTGTTATAACAATAAAATTCTTTTCTCATTTATAATTCTAATTTACAATCGATAATACATTTTTTATGCACTTAATAACTACATTTATCGATGCTAACGATCAAGCGAATGACGTCGCGGTTATTTTGGACCCTTATATGTAATATTTTTTAAAAAAATTAGGCCCTCATATGTAATTATTTTTAATTTGGGCCCGTATTTGTAATTATTTTCACTTTCCGGGCCCTTATTTGTAAATTCCCCTAAAATTTATACAAATAAACACTTAAGGGTAGAGTATGCATAAATTAATTTTATATAATCTTTTTTTTTTTGCAAGTATCGGCAGCCTCACAGTATCTTTTATTAAATCAAAGCAAATGTAAGAGTATATTTTATACTATTTAAATTATAGATCTGACATCACTCGGCTTCCTCTATGGGCACCCAAGTGTGGTCTGTCACACTGGTTAAGGCTATTACCCATACCAGGGGTTGCACCAAGTTAGCCAGTGAAACCATAATGAGATGGTTTCAATTCAAAAGAATTTCTAACTAAATTAAATTGGCAATTTTTCTTTTCTAAGGAAGCTTTCAGAAATCAGCTGATTTTGGGGTGGGTGAGTGGGTCAGTTAGTGTATCAGGTGTAATTCTGGCCAGAATTATCAAGTTTTGGCCATAATTAAAAAATATTTTTAAGCCAAATTATAAACTTGTTAATAATTAATTATTGTGGCAGATTAAAATGAAATCAGATTAAAATGAAATGAACGATAGTATAAAATAGACAAGCTACTAAAAAATACAAATTTTTGGGTGTATTTTTTTAGTATTTTTAGAGTTAGAATTAGGGTTTAGAAGCAAGTTTTATAATAAACAAGTATAAATAGGTTTTAGAGAGTCAAATAGAAACCCCTATTTCATTTTAATCTGATTTCATTATGATCTGTGACAATTATTAATAACTTTTGATCTGCTAAGCCAATTTAAATGATTTAACTACCAAAATAATCTTCTCATTAAAAGAATTCTAAATGTTTAAAATTATAAAAGTCTAATTACTAGATGCTAAGATAGAAATAGGTTTGTATTACTGTAAATGAATTATATTAATTTATTCTGAACCTGATAGTATACTTTCAATTATTTGAATAATTTTTTTGAACAAATACAGTATATTTATTATAATAAAAATTAGATAATTTATAACAGTGTTGGTGCAAGATAACTTTAAACAAATTGTAAACAATTGTAAACAATTTTGAATAAAAAAATAATCTAATTTACTTAAAATTTTATTAATATAATCTATTTTAATCTTTTAAACAAAAATATTTAAAACTATAAAAATATATAACTATATCTTTTTTAAACTAATTTATTAAATTTTAAAGTCTAAATATTTTTTGAATAGTTGTGAATACTGTGAATATTTAGATATAGATATGAGCAAAAAAGTCCTAGATATAGTAAATATAATAATACTAATTTACAAACTTTCACAATTATTAATTATATTATATTTGTAATCCTATTTTTTTATTTAAAGAATATATACTATTACTGATATTTTTTGTAAATGAAGTTTATAACAATTTCTAAATCTGATAACTTTTCATTAAAAAAAATATATATATTTTTTTTGCTTTAGTAATTTTTTCTTTTATTATTTAAATTAGTATAGAATACAACAACTATACAATTATATATATAGAGGCTAATCTATATTATAAACTAGTACTTCTAGGTCCAGTTCACATCTAGTTTAGTCCGGGATCGAACTGGACTTGAACTCTAAATTTTCATTCAAATTTAAACTCAAACTCAATTAGAGTTCGATCTGAGTTCGGTCCAGATTCAGTCTGAAGTTTGCAAACTAGTTTGAGTCTGAATATACTAGTTTGCAATATTGATGTTACGAATCTTTTTATACAAAATCATGGGATTTGGTTACGAATTCCAATAATTATTACATATTACCAGGAACAGAGTGATGAATATCACGAAGTGTATAGCTTTTTTTTACTTTATTATAGTTAGTTTTTGTTTTTTTTTAAAAAAAGTCTTCTAAGCTATATAAATAATATAAAATTAAATAAAATTTATTAGCAATCAGACAAACTTATACCTATGACAGTTAATGAAAAGGTTGGGTTCTAAGTAGTTATTGAATATTTGCTTTATTAATAAATTAAATTTTTTTTTTTTTTAAAATATTAACGGTGAGGCCATGCTTTTAACTTTATTGAAATTCAATTGAAGTTTTTATAAAGAAAAGCTTGCTTTTAAATCACATATGAAGAATAAAGACTCAGACATATAATCTGCAACCTAAATCTACAAGAGTGGCCAAGGCTCACCTAGATTTGGATATTAGTAATAATATGAGAGAGAGGAGTATGATATTTAATCTA